TTCTACTATGAGGACCATGCCTCCTAACTTGCTACCTAAAAGAGAAAGCATCTAGGCAAATCTACTGACATCCAGACAGGCATCTGTGGCCAGTACATGGAATAGCATCAATGAGTTGGCATGGATTATACCTTTCCAAGTGAGAAGGAAGAATAACAAATAAACTGGGGTCAGCTTTTGGAGGGAAATAAACAAAAAAGGTGGATGACAACAAAGAAAAGTTGTGACACAAAATTATAGAAACAAAAAATGCGAAAATGTCAGTTATCAAAATCAAACTTTCTAGGTAAGTTGAATTTTCGTGGCAAATATTATCATGAGAATTTATGAGGACCAGAATATACCTTCAGCTCTAAATAAGAGTGAAACTTGTGAACAGCTAGAAATGAGAACATTTAACTGAGATGTGACAGGCCTAGGTTCAATGTCTTCAATTTTGATATAAATACTTCAACTATTGTATTACAGAAACTCTTCTCCAGGAGGCAGTTAAAGCTGTTCATCTTCTAAAAATACTTTAATATGGACTGGGTTAAGACAGTAGTAACAGAAATCCCATAGCCCAATGGCTACAGCATTGCTGTGGGACTCAAAGGGTTGAATGTAAGTATTTGAGCATAAGTCTCTCATATGCATTGACCTACCTGAGTGGGTACCTTCATATTTTCTCTGTCTAATATTCATTCTAAAGGGGAAAGAAAACTGATGACATCTGAATTCATGTTGCAAAATAGAATTGTTTTCTCCCCCTACAAATTGTTGAGATGAAAACATCAAATAAGTATTTTCAGCTGATTTACTGAGTGGTGCAGTTGACACACCTGAGGGACAGGATGCCATCCCAAGGGACCTGGACAAGCTGGGTCCCCAGCCTGTTGAACCCCCTCATGAGGTTCAACAAGGCCAAGTGCAAGGTCCTGCACCTGGGACAGGGCAACCCCCAATATCAATGCAGGCTGGGGGAGGAAGGGATTGAGAGCAGCCCTGCGGAGAAGGACTTGGGGGTACTGGTGGATGAAAAGCTGGACATGAGCCGGCAATGTGCGCTTGCAGCCCAGAAAGCCAACCCCATCCTGGGCTGCATCCTCAGCAGCGTGGCCAGCAGGTCGAGGGAGGGGATTCTGCCCCTCTGCTCTGCTCTGCTGAGACCTCACCTGGGGCACTGCGTCCAGCTCTGGGGCCCTCAGCACAAGGACATGGACCTGCTGGAGCGGGTCCAGAGGAGGCCACCAAAATGATCCGAGGGCTGGAGCCCCTCTGCTGTGAGGCCAGGCTGAGAGAGTTGGGGTTGTTCAGCCTGGAGAAGAGAAGGCTGCGGGGAGACCTTAGTGCGGCCTTTCAGTGCTTACAGGGGGCCTACAGAAAAGATGGGGACAAGCTTCTTAGCAAGGCCTGTTGTGACAGGACAAGGGGTCATGGTTTTAAACCAGAAGAGGAGAGATTCAGACTAGACAGAAGGAAATTTTTTTACACTGAGGTTGGTGAGACACTGGCACAGGTTGCCCAGAGAGGTGGTAGATGCCCCATCCCTGGACACATTGCAGGCCAGGTTGGACGGGGCTGTGAGCACCCTGATGTGGTTAAAGCTGTCCCTGGTCACTGCAGGGGGCTGGGCTGGGTGACCTCTAAAGGGCCCTTCCAACCCAAACCATTCTATGATTCAGTGATTGTATGATTCTATGATACTACAATTAAATCATGTCTAGGAATATGTGAACAAGCTATAAAAACTGAAATATTTCACACAATGTGTTCAGAATACAAACATGGATAGCATTATACCACTTGACACACTCTTCCTAGGAAAAAAAAACATATACACACCTATTCCCTTGTGCCCCTACTGCAGGGTTGATATTTGGCACAAATAAATCAAAACAGGTAGCTATGTTGTTAAGTGTCCTTTGAATCTGCTTCCCCCTTTCACAGTGATGGGCATGTGCTTGCTCCTTGTGAGTCACTAAGCTTAATAAGGGCAGGAAAATGCCATTTGAGAATTATAATTAACTGTATGCTTTTCTAATAACGATGTACTTTATCTGAGCAGAAAACATGAAACATAGTACAGATGATATTTAAAGGCTGTTTAAGTGGCATTCATCTACTAAAAAAATCTACAATTCCATATTTCAGTTAAAATTTTTGTTATGTATTTGAGATTGACTGATACTGATCTGAAGCATTGTATCATTTCAGACCAATTAAAAGGATTACTTAGGTAAGACGTAAGTTTCCAATATTTTTCCAAGTATTTTTGACCTACGCATGTTCTCATTAGAACCCTAAGAGTACTGTTTTTCTGATAACATTTTTAGATCGTAATTTTTATCTACTTTATTTTACACAATTAAGGATCACTTTTGGATATAGATAACCATAAACTACTGGGGCCAGAAAAGTGCCTTTCCATTCTGTGCCTATAAAACAATGATCAAAGCTTTTCTAGTTTCCATTCCAATATGGATAGCTAGAAGTACTAGTGGCACTGCTGCTAAGTACTCTGGGCATTGCTGGCCTCTCTTTGATTTAAACTCAAGCTATCTGTAATTTTGGAATAAGTGATCCCTCTATTATGACAAAATCATCCTCACCTATGATATACTAAGTAGAGTTACAATATAAAAAAAAAGAGCATAAAGCATTACAAAACATATAAGCAAACTCACTGCATTCAGGTACAAATAGAAAAACCGCACAACTTAGGAGAATTGGGCACACATCTTGATAAATTCTCAAATTAACGTCAGCAAATAATTGCTTTTAATGGGATAGATTAGAATTATGAAATTATATTTCCATAAATAAAAGGGATGCCATCATCATGAAACACAGTTTACTTTCTCTGTCTTTCTCCTAAGATAAAACTAAAGAAGTATAAAACAATTATGGCCTGAAATAAACAAAAATGCCTGCATTTACCTTTTTTTTTTTGGGGGGGGGGGGGTAAATTTTGACATCATTATTATACAGATGTCATTTAAATAATTTTCACCTCTAAACAGTCTTCAGTAATGCACTATTGCACAAAAAATTTTTCAGTATACAAAAATTACAAAATATATAATCTTTCAGCAACTCTTCTGTTGTAATTTGACAGATTGTTGTGGTTTAACCCCAGCCAGCAACTAAGCACCACATGGGGGAGAGAATTGGAAGAGTAAAGAGTGAGAAAACTCCAGGGTTGAGATAAGAACAGTTTAATAACTTAAATAAAATAAAGTAAAATAGTAATAATAATAATAGTAATAATGTAATAATAATAGTAACAATAATATACAAAGCAAGTGATGCACAATGCAATTGCTCACCACCCACCAACCGATGCCCAGCCAGTCCCCACGCAGTGATCGCTGCTCCCCAGCCAACTCCCCCCAGTTTCTATACCAAGCATGACATCATATGGTATGGAATAGCCCTTTGGGCAGCTTGGATCAACTATTCTGGCTGTGCCCACTCCCAGTTTCTTGTGCGCCTGGCAGAGCATGGGAAGCTGAAAAGTCCTTGACCAGTGTAAGCACTGCTCAGCAACAACTAAACCATCAGTGTGTTATCAGCATTATCCTCATCCTAAATCCAAACCACAGAACTACACCAGCTACTAGGAAGAAAATTAACTCTATCCCAGCCGAAACCAGGACACAGACACAAGTAAGATAGTGTCTCACCTTTATATACAATGGCTCTCTTGTGTTTTCTATAAGAATGCAAGCTTTTTCTTCCCACACAGGATTGAGGTTCTTGTGTATTGTTTTACTTCTAAATACTTCTTTTCCTCCAAGTTTGAACTTGACGTACGGATCACTGGTTCCTGTTAAAGACACATATATACTGTTAATTATGTCCTTTTAATACATTAAGGGAATGGAGACTAAATTACCTTAAACAGAACTAAATGTAATTTCTACTGATAGCCAAAGTAAAAACAGCAGCTGAGGAAAGAATTTTTTATTGTCACAATTTATTATTTTCCACAGTGAAATTACTCAGGTAATTCACTGTGTTTACATCAAATGGGTGCTTGCATCACTTTCTGTCATTTGCAATTCATACTCAAAGTCATACATGAACTACTGGGTATCGCAGTGTAGTTTTTACTTAACAGAATTATGTCCTTCTTAGGACTAGGATTTTCTCTTAACACAATCACTAAAATTAGACTATAAAGTTAAAATTATTTCTGTAAAATATTAATCTAATGATCTTATGCCTTTGAAAAGGCACAGGCTCCACTTACACCACTAGTTTAACTCTTCATTGACTTTATTGTGTTCAGGCTTCCCTCTTCTACAAAGGCACATTTCCTACAACACTCACGATGAGCAAACCAACTCTAAAGTCAGTCCACAAAGTTCACATGCTTCCTGCAGCAATCACATATCCACAGGAGAGCACAGGTCTAAGCCCCCTTATACAACTGAACTATGAACTACAAACTACAATTAACTATGACCAGAAAGACAACCCTGAAGGGAATTGAAAGAGAAATGTTAAACATGGCAGAAATGGAGAATGGATGAGACATGGGTGTGGAAGTGTCAGAACGAACAACTGGTGGAAGGAGGACTCTTGGGGCGGCACATGCTGAGGGCACAGAGATTAGCAGCCATCCAGGAGCACATCTGTGTCCTCTTCTCAAGACACCCATGTGGGGAGACAAAGGACAGCAAGCAAAAATCTGATGGTGTGCAAAGAAGCTTGACAAGACTGAGAGATAAATCACTGCCAGCTACCAGAAGGTAGAAAATGGCACTTCCAAAACCAGCACAGACATGGTCACCTCACTAGCAGGAGCCCCAAGGACATGAGGAGGACCTGTTGGCTGGTGTCCTTCCCCTCCCCATCATGCAAGACCCAGACAATGCATCTGTGCTTGTGCATGTGAGCATGCGGGTGTGAGACTCATAAGTCATAAGGTTTCACACTGCGACTTGCTACATTGCCGTTACCACACTGCAGCGCCTATTTCCCACAATCTGACCTCAACTCCCAGTGCATTGTCTTGAGCTGACATGTGGGAAAGAGAGTGAACTCAGGGGAAGGAGAGGGACAGAAGTGGGCAAATGCCTCTTCCACTTGTGTCCAGCAGTCTCACCATGGAGACCAGTGGCTGAGCAGCACAAAGCTGCCCCTTGACGAACGTTGAAGCCGGAGCAAGCCGTCACTGTTGCTGGAAAGAGCAACTGCAGCCCTCGTCACTGCCCCTCCGCTGCCTACTCCCCTGTGCCTGCCAGCACCAACATTTCAGGAACTGGCCAGCAAATGGATTTCGGAATTGGTCCAGCTGAGAAAGGCAGTCATTTTGCAGCTGAATGGGCTCTGGGGCACAGCTACAAGAGACAGAAGTTGTGCCTGTGATGGTCCTCATGAAACTACTACCTCTGTGGTGGACTGAAAAAAAGACTACTCATCTTTTCCTGCATACTTTGATTACAAAAAATACAGTTAAGTCTTTAAACAAAAGAAAAAAGATGGATAGAAAATTCGAACTAAATTGTTCCCTAAAATGCCAGTTGGTAAGATTTCATTGTTATGTAAGTGAAATTCATTGTAATGAAAAATATTGGATGGGATTCATATTTCTATTTCTCTCTCAGCTATTTCTGAGTCTTAATCATATTAGAGTCTAACTGATCCAAGACTATCTTAAAGTAAACAATAATTCTAGCATGAATAATAATTGCATCTTCATGAGCAACAGCAAAACTGTAAGACAGACCTTTTTTTTTTAATGTTTAACACTTTTCACAAGACTGGCATATTCTAGAGGTTTGTGTTTACATCCACTGGGAAAACAGTCATTAGCTTTTGTTAAAATTGCAACACACTCTTCAAAATATAAAGGCTGGTATGACCAGAGCTCTTTGCACTATTTCATGCAGCCACAAGATGTCAGTACTCTTTACCTAAAATTATATATCCCTTTCAAAAAACTAGAGCACTGGAAACCCGTTATCTCACATGTGACAGCATTACAGTCATTCCCTTCTGAAATTACTGGGGCAGAATTTCAGCGGCATAAAAATGTTTAGTCTAGCTGTGGTGGTACATCCTCCCCTGCCCCTGTTTTTCTGTTCTGTTTTTCCCCTTCACTT